AAAAAAAAATGTGATGGAAGAAACAGCATGGAGGGAGCAAGGATGTCTAACAGGCAGCAGATTTTTTTCCTCAGTGCTGGTGGCTTTGAATTGATGCCTGTCATGATGCTTTGGGCATGGAAAATGGTGCTGTTGGGCTGCAGAGTGGGACTAAATTGATTTGTCCATTCCAGGAAACTGAGATGTGCTGTGGCAGTTGCTCTTAGAAGAAAGTGCAAATCTTTCTGGGAAGTATCAGGTCTTTTCTACTCTSTTCTAGTCTATTCCATTTTGCTGCATTCATTTTGTCTTTAGAAGATTTAGGACGAGTTTTGTCTTATACTGTGAAGAAAAAAATAAAGTGTGTTTTTCCTGTGCTTCCCTTCCTCTTATCTCCTGTCCCTCAGTCCAACTTTCTTTTCTGGATGGGTACAGATGAAGCCTAAGAGTTGCACGTGTTGGTTCTCCACCTTTAATTGTACATCTCAAAGGTTCATTTTCTGGTGGTGTCAAGAAGCTTTTAAACCTGAATATTTCTTCTCTCCATTGTCATGCCTACACATTTTCCATGGACCAAAGTACCTCATGGATACTCAGTTTGATGAAGACAGAGTTTTGGATAAAATCAATRCCATGTGACAATGTCCTGCAAGGAGGGACTGGCTATGGTGCCACCTTCTCTCTGGCACAACTTTTCAGAGGATTTGCTGTAGTGCTCCTCTTTAGTACCCTGAGAATGAAGGAGCTCAGTGCTTTGTTCTTTCCTTAGAAAGGCTGGGGAGTACCTCCTTCAAGCTGTTTTCAAAAACAAGGCRCTGGGGGTAAAGGCTGAGGGCAGAGCTTGGGGCCAAATGTATGGTTATTGAGGGAACCACAGCTCCTTTAGGGAATTGTGCTCTGAGACTTTCTGGTTAAGCTCATTTCATAGATAAAGGCATCCAAGCACAGCTGATGTACTTCTGCTTCTATATCATTCGTGCCTCCAGTGGGCTGAAGATCCATTTTGTAGAATCTTGGAATGGTTTGGATGGGAAGGGACCTTAAAGATCATCCTGTTCCAAAGCCCCTGYCATGTGCAGGGGCYACTTCCACTATCCCAGGGTGGTCCAAACCCTGTCCAGCCTGGCCTTGGRCATTTCCAGGAATGGGGYGTCCAYAGCTCTGGGCAACCTGTGCCAGGGCCTCCCCACCSTCATAGGGAAGAATTTCTTCCTAACATCTAATCTACATCTTCCCTGTCAGTTTGAAGCTGTTCCCCYKKGTCCTGTCCCTCCATCCCTTCTCCCGAGTCCCTCTGCAGCTCTTTTGAAGCCCCTTTARGCACTGGAAGGGRCTCTGAGGTCTCTCAGGYGCCTTCTCCAGGCTGAACAAYCCCAGCTCTSTCWGCCTTTCCTCATAGGAAAGGTGTTCCATCCCTCTAATCATYCTTGTGGCTCCTCCGGACTTACTCCAACAGGTCTGTGTTATATTTTATCTGTTTCTTTCTGGATCACTGGACCTTGTGAGTTTGAATACCCCTGGATCACACACTTGAAGAGCACCTGAACAACTTGACTCATGTTTTACCCAGCTCAGCAGAAATGGGAGAATGTCCAATGTTTTTACTGTGCCTTAATGTCACTCCAGCCAGCCCACACATGGCCTTGCACTGTAATGAGTAGGGTTGACAGCACAAAGTGGAGCCAGGAGTGCTGGAATAGCRTGTGGGAATGCAAACATAAACCTGTGGGAATGCAAACACACTTTTGCATGCACACAGTGTGGTGCTCTGGGCTCTCACGATTATGAGGCCATGGGCAAAAGGTAAAAAGTGACCTGAGGAATAACTAAGGGAAAGAGGATGAAGGGAGGGAGCCAAAAGGCTGAAGAGGTGGTGAGAACAAAATGGGGTAGAGAGGTTTAGCTGAGAAGAGCAGGTGCAGGGTCAAAACAGCTCCTATTGTCAGAGGAGCCCCACAGAGACCACTGAGACAATCAGCATAGTGCCAGCGTCAGTGACACCAACAAACTCTGCTGAAATTCGGGCTGTGGGGCARAGGTGTCAGGATCCTGGACCTTCCCCTTTCCCTAGAGGACATCACCCTCTCCTTTTCCCTGGCCCCATGCTGGRAAGCCCCAGGACCATGAGCAGAGCAAAGCTTGCAGAAAGGGATCCAGCAGGGAATGGCTGAGGAGGTGAGGAGATGAGCATTAAAKCTGCAAGTAGCCACAGAATCATTGGTTTGTTAAAGTTGGAAAAGATCTTTAAAGCCACTGAGCCTAGCTATCAACCCAGAACTGCCACATCAACTAAAAAATCACATCTGCAAACGACACAGCTATATGACTTTTAGATAACCCCAGGGATGGTGACTCCAYCASTGCCCTGGGCAGCCTGTTCCAATGATGGACAACCCTTTTGGAGRAGAAATTTTCCCTATTATTCAATTTAAATCTCCCATGGTGCAACTTGGGGCCATTTMCACTTGTCCTGTCATTTGTTATTTGGGAGAAGAGACCAACCCCCACCGGGCTACAGCCTCCTGTCAGGGAGTTGTAGAGAGTGAGAAGGTCCCCCCTGAGCCTCCTTTTCCTCAGGTTGAGCCTCCCCCTGCCCAGGTCCCTCAGCTGCTCCTGGTGTTCCRTRMSTTTCCCCAGCTCCATTCCCTTCAGCGTCAAAACCCAGATTTTGCAAACTCCCCACCCCATTTCCAGCCATGGCCAGGTTCCATGTGACTCTAGGGTGATTTTGTTCACCAAAGCAAAAGTACAAAATTGGTATTACCTACAAAAATGTCTAGCCTAGACTTGGGACACCCAGCCCTTAAAACACCATTTACTAGMGCACAAAGAGGTTAGAAACCAAAGGATGCAGCAAATCTGAGTGACCAGTGTTCTTCTTACAGAGTAGTGATGTGCTTGAGGAGAKGGATTCATCAAAGGGCACCGAAATACATCCTCTGCTGCTTGCAAATAAATTTGCACAGGAGAGCAGCCCACCCTTCTCTTCCCTTTGCATGACACTAGATGACACCAAAATGTCCTGACTGAGCTGGCAGCAGCCAGCCAAAGGTCACTGTTAAGGGTTCACTGTGATTGGGGAAAGCTCCCCAAATGCCCACATAGTTTGGTATCTAACTGCAGCCATCCCCTGCAATTCAGAAAACTTCTACAGCTGGTAGTAGAGAAAAATACAGATTGTTCATCTGAAGACTTTGAAAAAGTAAAAAGTCCTTTTTGAACTCAGCCACTCTGCTTTAACACTCTGTTTCTGCATTGTTTGTGTCTGATGGAAACAAAGCACGTTTCCATCTGYGTGTTAAATTACAGACTTACAATTTCTGTGTAGAAAACACTCCAGAGCCAAGAGCAGTTACAAAGGCCAACTGTGAAACAGTAGGAAAAAAAAGAGTCAACACCATTTATTATTCACATATTGCATTACAAGTGTCTCTTTTATCAAACTCAGAGCATAATTTATATTATTCATGTAGAAACTCAACTTCAACACCACATGGAAAGAAAAGCTAAATACGTGTGTGACAGGGGTGCAGTGACATCCTGATCAAACGTCGAGGCTCGGGCYGACGCACAGCCCCACGACCCAAGGGATTTAGTGCAGGAGGGACAAGCCCAGCGCCCGCTTCTGCCCAGTACAACCACTCTACTGGCGATTCTTTATTGCTGTAAAACACGACAGGGATGGTTCCACGGGTACCAGCTTGCAAAGGACTGGGGAACACACTGGGAGGCCAGCCAGGCATGAGCAAACTGGGTTTCAGGGACAGTTGCAAGTGCATCTGTTGCAAAGGCAGAGTGACACARATCTCCTCTCCCTGTGMCCGTGGATATTGTGTTCATCATCTGAAAGACCAGTTTCYAGGCAGCAATGCCTCACTGGTCTGATTCAAGAACGATGGAATCAGACTAGACCTTTAGTAGATGCCTGTCCAATCATCGCTTGCTCTCTGAGCATCTGCAGATGTCYTTATCTAAGTCTACTTCATCCTCTCTGGTGTCTCAGGGAAACTCTCCAGTCTTCTGCTCCTGAAGATAAGAAGGAAGGAGGAAGACATGAGTCTGTTTTCATCTACAATTCTGACGATKTTTCCTTTGCCTTAAATTTACAGTTTTGGATGGTTTTTCTCCCTAAATTCGGAGCTCCCAGTACCCACCTCAGCTGGAGGTTGGTTGTTCCCTGTGTCATCTGCCAGCTCAACACCGCGGGTCTCATGCAACAGGATGCAGAACAAGGCCACCACCACCGGGATGCTCCCGAAGATGGCCATGGGGATGGCTCGGTGATACTGGTCCAGGGGGATGATCAGTGGGGCCAGGATGCCGGCCACCCTYGCCATGGTCGAGCACAGCCCCACGCCCGTCTGCCTGTGGGGGACAGGGGCAGTGGGAGGTGTGGGCAGGGAGCAGCACGCCCTGATTGAGAGTGGCTATGGGGACAACTGGGCTCTTGCCCCATCAGCACCTCCATCCAGGGCAGAGGGAAGGCCTGATGTGTGGGGAGAGCTCACCTGACGACCGTGGGGAASAGCTCGGCGGCGTAGACGTAGGAGGTGGAGAAAGAGGCCGTGGCTGTGAACTTGCCGATGATGGCCAGGACTGTGATTGCCACRGGCTGGTCTGAGGGGAGGAGGAGAGACCACCACTGTAATCTCCAGGAGATGTTCATTTGGGACAAGAACTCTCTGCAGCAGGGTTTCTTGGGACAGCCCTTTCTAGTGGACTTGCTAAGTAAACTACAAGCTAACCCACTGGACATCAGTTCCAGCATGCCTTTAGCTGGAAATACCCTCTGGCAAAGARAACCCAGAGTTCTCCTCAGGCCTTGGGCGTTTTCTAGATCTGCAACTGTAGTGAGCTGCTGAGCCACCACAGGGATTTGGGGAGTGCTTAGTTGGAAATGTCACATCCCTGACCTTGAAAGCATCAGGAAACTCCACTGTTTCCTTCAGCCTCACTCACAGTACTGGCACAGCAAGAGGGTGTGGTATGGACAGGGGCACAAACTGGGGGGAGTGGGCATTTTCTTTTTCTGTTCATCTAAAAAAGGGAGACATGGTGGCTTTTAAAACACCTCTCCTGCTACACCTGTCTGCTGGGAGCTGGAGGTGTCTGGTGGGTGGCGATGTATAATGGATTCTGCCTGCCAAGGGCCAGGAGCTGTGGARGAACCAGGCAGAGCCCTGAGGGAGAAGGAATCCAAGCTGTGRGGAAGCCACCACTTTGGGGATGTGKCACTGGAGGCAGCTGAGCCCCTGGGAGTGAGTGTGGGTCTGCCAGGAGGGGAGGATGGGTCTGAGCAAGGGTGGGGATGAGAAGGTTGGGGAAAATTCACCTTCAGGGATGCCAGTGAGGATGAGGCACAGCACGCCAGACAGCAACAGGAGAATGCCCTGCACTTTCCTCCTCCCAAACCACTCCAGCAGGAAAATGCAGGAAATTCGAGCTGGAAACTCCACTGCCCCAAAAGCCAGCTGAGTCAGGTAAATGTCCAGACCAAAATCTGTCACGCTGAGGCTCAGCCCATAGTAGACAATACTGTCTGCAAACCTGAAATTCAAGTAAAGCAGAATAGAACATGTCACCAGATGGTTTTATGGGGGTTTGTTGTCAAAAATTAGAAAGGTTAAAACACAAAACTTATTTAAACTCCCAACAATCTCTATTTTGCCTCTAGTCACAACCYGTGATAGTTCTGTGGGACGTATTTGCAGGAGATAAAGCAGAATGGATCCCCATATGGTCAGAAACTTCCAGACTGAACCCARAACTTATTGATAGGCACAAAACTGCTCCAAGGCCCAGGGATTTCCAAAGCTGGAATTCAAGCCCTTCTAACAAAACCCAGAGTATCATCTTCCCATGCCCAGACAAGGTAAATCTGGACCAGYATGGGCRGGTAAAATGATAGGAGATAAACACMTTACTTWTAAATGACCACCAAAATCRCATTAATTTACAGTTTCTTGTCAACCATCAGCTTCTTTTCTTTCACCTAGAAATTTTGAAAGAGGGGACTGGGGAATGTCTTACCAGACACATGACATGATTATCGTCACCTTCCGCAGGTGCTKCTTCCGAAAGAGATCCAATAAACTTCCAGACTTGACCTCTTGCTCAGGCTTCAACTTCAAAACACAGAAAGACAAAGAATCAAAGCAGGAAAAGGAAACCCATGCCCAGCTGCTTTTCCACTTGCATTCCATGGAAAGCCTCGATGAAACAGACTCTGGGAGGGAGGGCAGACCAGTCCCCCACAGTCCATCCCCAAACCACCCCCAGTGGAATGGAGAGATGTTCCTGGGATGAGCTGAGCTCCAGGAGATGCTGCAAGGCCCAGGGCAGTGTCTGAGGACAAGAACCCCCCCAGTACCTGCTCCAGGAGCCCTGGTGGGAGGCTGCGCTTGTTGGTGGCTGCYGCCTTCTGCAGGACCTTCTTGGCTTCCTCCACTCKRCCTTTGGTCACCAGCCAGCGAGCTGACTCTGGGAGCACCCTGCCAGGAGGGGAGGGCAGGACATGCTGCTGGGCCCTGCTCAGTGCCCCACAGCCCCTTTCCCTGGGACCACATCCAGCGAGCCGTGGCCACCACAGAGTCACATCACACAACCACAGAACATCCTGTGTTAAAAGGGACCCACAAGGCTCAGAGTCCAGCTCTTGAATGGCCCATGGGATGGATGGGTCCAATTGGCCTAAACTGAGCTCCAAAGGCCACATTTGGAGATTTGAAGCAAAGCAGCTGCTGCTCTCAGCAGCCCAGTGCCCCAGGGAGATGTGCTGAGCTCCACAGCAGCTCCTCCAGCACCTGCACTCTAGTGGGACAGAGCCAGCCTGGCCCTGAGCTGCTGCTGCTGCCTCCTCCCTCACACCCCCTCATCACTGTTGTGTCTGCAGGAGCTCTGTCCTGCTCCTGCTTACCAGATATAGAAGAAAAGGGCAAACAGTGGAGCAGATCCTGCAATTTCCAGCAGCCTCCAGTTGCGAATCCCATAACTCAAACCAGACACCAACATCTGTCCAATGGCGAAAGCGGTGTGAGTAATCAGCAGCGCCTTTGACCGGTAGGAGACTCCAACCCATTCTGTAGCTGAGAGGAAAAACAAAGGTTCACGGTCACCTTTTCCAAAACATGCTGGACTCTCTTTGGTTGTTGAATTTTGTGAGGCTGCTGCTTCTGGGCAAGGGCCTTCTACTCACCCAGGGCCACGACTGTMACCATAATTCCTGCCACCGCAGCTCCCACGACACACCTGAAGGCCATGTACACATAGAAATGGGGCACAAAGGCAATTCSCAGGCCAAACAAGCCCTGGAGGAGGACGGAGATGAGAAAGACTGGCCGCCTGCCTATCCTGTGAAAGAAGAGGGAAGACACAGTCAGTATCAGGAGAGACCCCATGGGGATAGGGAAGAGTCCAGGTGGGATTCAAAGTAATTTGAGAACCAGAGGAGGTTTGATATCTATGTGAACAAAGCTCCTCTATACACTCCAGGAAACAAAGTGCAGAAAAATCAGTCTCCACTGTTGACCCATCATGGTGCTGACAAAGCCTGAGACACCGACAGGAGCTAAACTTGTGATTCCTGATGACCAACCTCCCCTCCCCACCTCTTCCCCCCAAGCTATATCTGCCTCTCTTTTCAACCCTCAGACATTTACAGACCCCTCAGGTAGCCCCAGATGCCCTTTCTCAGGCAAGGGGATTGAGTCCTGAGAGGAGAACAGTTCATGCTCAGTCATGGACAGCCTGCAYGCTCAACTGGGCTGTCCCTGGGTGCTGGGCAGAGGCTCTGGGAAGGGAGTGTGTTCTCTCACCTGTCACTCAGCATCCCAAAGAGCATGGATCCAATGAGAAGTCCAGCCATGGAGACAGACTGGGAGACGTCATTCAGGATCGCCCTGTCACATACCAGGTCAAACTAGAGGAAGGAAAAAACAGATGTTGTTGTTTTTGACAGACCACAGATGCTTTCTGGGAGTGGGCAGCCTTTCTGGTCCATGGTGGATCCAGGATCTGGGTGCCTCAGCTCTTGCTGCAGCCYCTGAGAGCAGAGAACCCCTCACAAGAGCTTGAGCCCTTGATGGTGAGCACAAATGAATGGCGGGACAGCATGCCTCTGCATCCCAGTGCACATCTCCTGAGTGCTGAGATCTGCAGGGCTCCCCTCCAGCCCAAAMACCCCTGAGGGAGCCTGCTGGTTAGCAAGTTGTGTTTAAAGTGGGACCTTGGGGTGAGAGGCTGTTGTTATTGGCTGGATTTGTTATTGGCTGGAGTTGTTATTGAATGGATTTCCTGGCTGGAAAAGGCAGCACAGGGTGGAAGGAAGAAGAGAGCAGTAACCAAAGAACCTCCTCTGGTAAAGGAAGACCAGCATAGGAATGGAAGGGATGCAGCAGCTGCTGAAATCTCCAGAGAAGCTTTCTCTGAAATGGCCTTGGTGCTTCAGGGACACCAAGSAGCCTTTCCAAACGCCAGAGGCTGGGCTTTCTCCTCTGTTCCAGCTCCAAGGATAGTACCTGTGAGAAAGTGCTGGAGCTGGGAGATAGGAAAGGAGGGAGGAGAAATGAGGGAAGGTGAGAAAGAAACAAAGGTCCACAGAGGGAGAAWCACAGAATCATTTGGTTTGGAAAATACCTCCAATATCATCAAGTCCAACTTTTAACTTACCACCACCTTTTCAACTAGAAGGTGGGAGATAAGGCAGAGTAGAGAAATTGAAGATGATGATAAACAAGGCCTTTGCTCAACTGCATGGCCCAGGGAATGTCTTGCTGCAGCCCTGAAGGTCTCTGGAGATATCAGTGACAGAAATATCAATTAAAAGCACTTGGAAGGTAAAGTATTTCACAGAGAAAACGATGTGAGTAGAATCAGGCTGAAGTAACTGAGGTAGGGACGCCTAAAAGGTCCCTCCAGGCAGATACATCATAAAGTCAAGGATCTGGATACTGGTAAAGGGACAGATGGTGGGCAGAACACATGCTGGACTCACCCCCACTATCACTGCCTGTGCCCTCTCCAGGCATCTGCACCAAGACCTTCCTGCAACAACCTTGCAAGGATTACAGCTGCCATCTGTGTGATGGAGGCAAAATCCTCCAGTGAATTTCAGCTACCCCAGCTGGCACTGGCTGACCAAACCACAGGTCAGGATATTCCCATTCCCTCCCYTCCACACCCYGGTCTCATCAAACRGYGATTACACACCTCGGTCAGCAGGGACGGCGGCTGCTCTGTGTGGTACACCCAGCCACTGCTGCACTTCTGCGTGTCATTGAGGCCGTAGGCCAYGATGGAATCCAGGTCCCAGTCCACGGGYGAGTACATGGAGCACTGCTCGAACTGCCCGTCAGCGCCCCGGGGCAGGGTGAGGTTCAGCTGCTCTTCCTCYGTCAGGTTGGGGCCGACRGYGCGGATCCAGCTGGTGTCACAGTGGTGAGGCACTTCCACAACCATGAACAGYTGGGCCACCATTTGAAAAGGATTGAAAAGTAGTGGGAGGGAGAGGAGCAGCATCAGCAGYTTCTGATACAGCCCACACTCCCCCACAGCACTTAAAAGATCTCCAAACTCAGCCATGGCGAGCACCTCTATGGCCAGGCCACACTGGTGCCTATGGCTTAAATAGGCAAATATTAATGTTTAAACTGTGTGAGCACTAAACCCCTAATCCAGTGTGATAAAATSAGCACCTGCACTAGCACACCAGTCCATTATGATGATACACTGCACTCCTCCAGGCTGTACTTTGTCACCAGCCATTCCCTCCCCGCTCTTGGGAACAGAACAAAGGTGCCAGAGCATTGCCACTATTGGAGATAGGATAGTGACAGCTTGTCCTTTTCCAGCCTGGAGTGCCTCACAAGGCCTCCTGAAGGCAAGGGTGCTGCAGCATGAGGTTTTTGTCTGAGGCATGAAGCTGGGRTTCTACAAATCAGGGTTAACTTTACTGAGTGTGGTGAAGCAAAAGGAGKAAACTTGCTGCTCCCATTAATGGATTAATGGCTATAAAACCCATCATGGAGACAACAGGGAAGAAAAGCAGAACACTTCTCCTCTGGACCAGGAAATAAGGCTGGTAGTCCAGTAGATTGGATCTTGACAGCTGTGTCCCAAGCTATGCATTTTCATTTGTAAAAACCCCACTTAGTCATAAAACTAGATCTAAGCAATGGTGTCTTGGAGAGAATCCTAAAATAGATCTGGCTTGGAGAGTACCCTCAAGGAAAAACAGCATGATACACACACAGACAGACAGAGTACACAGGATCTGAGAAATGGCACCAACTTGGCTTTGCCTGAGGTTCTGRTGTCACTTGAAAAGCAGATTGATCTGATTTCTGCTGCAGATCTGAGCTGCTGCCTGGGTAGACTTCCTGAGCAGCTGTGTCTTTATGCTTGGTAAACAGGATTGCTCTCAATGTGTGACAYTTCATGTGTGATTTGGCAAAGGTCTCCTGGCTGCTTTCACCAGAGCTGAAGACATMATTTCATGTGTCCCCTCAAATTCTTTGTCCTTCTTTGTCCACTCTCAATGCCCATAGTACATCTGAGCCTTCAGCAAGGTCACTGAGGGATCACACAAACCTGAACTGCTGTTTCATGAGTGAGAATGGTACTATTGTGMTTATGGAAATGGGAAAAAGGGTAGAATATTGGATTTTGAAGCATCACCCCCTAATTTGGAATGGGAAAGTGAGATCATTACTCATTAGTGCTATTGGGAGTAAAGGGAGAGWGGAGTAAATGTTATTAAGAGTTGTGTAAATCCAGCACTGTGCATGTGTCATCTGCACATGCCACTCAGTCAAACACATCACTTGGCTATGCATCCACATCCTTGGATGAAAGGACTTGTTATTATTCMGAGACATTCCTTGAGCAGGAGGCTGAGCTACACAACCACCAGAGGTTCCTTTCACCCTAAATCCATCTCTGGCCTTTTTGTGGGATGACTTGGCCAAGGAGCTCTGCTCTGGCAAAGACATTTTGACCCTGTCCTGCCTTCTCCATCAACGGGCAACAAGCTCAAGTCTTCAGGCTCATCCTGTTGTGTGTTGCCCATGGTCTTCCCTCCCATTCCAGTGAGACTGACTTCAGCACCTGACGAGTCACAGAAATTTCAAGGATATCCCTCTTTTCCCTGATTTATGCTTCCCTGCACAGAGCACTGACACTGCTTTGCAGCAGATGCAATTATTAAGCAGCTTTATTCCTCCAGCAGATCTGACAGAGTCAGTGTTATTTTGGCACTGGTGAGGCAGGGAGGTTGTTGGGGTAATTTATTTTATTTTATTTTATTTTATTTTATTTTATTTTATTTTATTTTATTATCTCATTTAAGTTCATATCACTGAATTTCATTTTTAAAATGTTATTTAATTTATTTCATTTAATTTCATTTTATTTCATTTTGTTCTGTTTTAAAAAATAAGCATTTTAACACCTTTATTTTTTTTTTTTACAGGCAGCTGATTAAAACATGTGAAAGTGATATGCTCTATAACCCTTTTCATAGTGCACGTGTTCATGCACCCCTCTGGGGCTGCTTGTGAGCTTGTTTATCATTAGTATAATTGTTAACTCCTATAACATTTATGTTATGTAATATTTATGCAAAGGGCAGGCAGAGAGGAGCAGAGTGCAATTGCACAGGGACAGCAGACGTAGCAATGTCCCCACACCCCAAGATTTCAATACACCAGGGTTCATTTCCCTCCTCTGTCCTTCTGACCTTGGCAAGGTAATTTCATTTTACTTTGCTCATCATTGTGCAGCTGATTTCAAAAATCACTTTTGGTCCCATATCAGCAAATTTGTGCTTTAGAGGAGGGGTATGTGTCTTTTTTAACCTATTTTTTTCCACCTATATGAAGAACTCCTTCTCTGAAAGGTCATAATTTAGCATCTCCAAGTCTTCAGAAGACAGACTGTCAAAATCTTCTTCAGCTCCTGATGTTTTTTGGCTTCTGTGCATTTTTTCAGAACCCTCCTGGCCTGTTTTGGTTGAATCAACATCAAAATGCTCAAAGACACCCTGGTTAGAAGTTTCAGAAGCACTGCTGGTGAGCATGTGTGGAAAATTGGGAAAATAGTCTTCCTGTGTGAGAAGATGCTTTTTTGTGGARCCTTCAGCACTGTGACCCACTCCAAACATTTCTTCTGCTGCCTTTGGAGCCTGGCACTGTGGATCCAGCTGCAGCAGCAGTTCACAGCTCTGAATCCCTTCCAGCTCTCTAATATTAAACTCATCCTGCCCATCRAGAAGCGAGAGGCTGGAGGTATCCCACAGCTCTAGTGAGGCATTTGTTTCTGCTGAGGTTTCCTGGAATAAATCTGGAGGGTTTGGATCAAAGAAAGGTGGAGTTTCTGCCTTTGAGTTTTGCAAATCTGAATATGGAGTTTTTCTTGCTGTGCTGGGAAAATCCTGTCCTCCAGGGAAGAACAAGTTATTGTCCCCCAGAAAATCCATGTTGCTGAACTGAAGCTCAGCTTCCCTGGGTAACTTTTCTGAATTTCCTGGTGAAAAAGGGATCCCATCCTGTGCCACTRTGTCCTGGACATCCAAACTCAGCAGGTTCTGGGTTTCTGGCAGAGCACCATGATGATTCCCTTCCCTGGTGAGATTTTTGTTGYTGTCAGCTGCAGGCACAAGCTCTGGAGGAGGCCTTAGAGGATTTGTTCCACCTTCTGTGATTCCTGCAGCTTCTTTCTGGTTTTCCTGTGCTGGCAGGAGTGGGGGCCAACAACTGTCCTGTTGCTGCCAAACCTGACTATTTAAAGACAGATGGGCATGAAAGTCAAGTTCAGTTCTGTCACTTTTATGTGACATGGCTGTGCCAGGAGCTGACAACAGGACATCAGTCTCCTTGYCTTCAGCAGAGCCTGAGAATCCTCCAGAGCTCCCCTGGATATGTTTAGGGAGCACCTCCATCTTTCCAGGCTGTGGCAGCTGATCATTCTTGGAGGYCTTTTGCTTGGCTAGGCTGGAGGAGCTGAGAAGGCCCTGGGCTTTTTCTGGCTGGCCATTAATATTTGCTTGTTCTGAGGATCCTGCAGGTTTTTCTCGTGGACTTTGCTTCTTSTCTGAGGAGTGACCAAACAGAGTTGAAAGGGCTGACTGGGGCTTTGTGGCTTTCCTCTGGGTTGTTGCTTCTTTCTTGGGAGCTCTGCCTTTGTCTTCAGAGCCAAAAAGGGTAATGAAGGGGTTTTTCCCAAGCCTGAAACCTTTGCCTGATGCCTCTTTACAGGTTTGACTGCTTCTGGCCTCCTTGCTCTGGGCACCAGTCTGTGACACAGGCACAGTGCTTTTCTCTGGGAGTTTCAGATCCACTTTTTCTTCACCTACTGGTTGGCCTCCAGATTTGTCCAAGGGTATATTTGGTTTGGAATATTCCAGTGCCTTGGCTGGTTGCTCAGAAATATGCAAGGTGTTTTCACTAAGAGCTTCCCTGGAATCCTTTGACTTGGAGTTGTTGACTTCATCATGTGAGGGACAAGTGGCACAAATTCCTTTCAGGGGTGTGTCTGYTGGTACTGGAGAACCCTTGTCAGGTGATTTAGTATCAGGTCTCCAAATACTTTCATGAGTGTTACTTTTCAGTGGGCCATCTGTGTCCTGAGGCTCTGTTTCTTGTAAAGAGGATACGTTGTGATCATCTGGACAACCACGTGAAGAGATTCTGCTCTTTTCAGCTTCATTTTCCTGAGGTGTAGGCTCAGGACCMGGCTCTCCCAGAGACCCTGACACACTTACTGGTTTCTCTTCTTTTGTCTTCTCAATTTCTGCCCCTTTGCTCTCAGTTCCAGGCAAATCACTCATGGATGGCTGCAAACCTTCCCCCAGAGTTACTGGCATCTGTTTCCCAGRGAACTCACTGGTGTTTGATTTCTCATTCAGCATTTCAGGGATCTCAGGTGACGCACTCAGTCCTCCTGGCTCCAGGGAATCAGACGATGCAGAAGAGGTCCTCAACAGACCAGAGTAGGAATAGTCATCTTCAGCTTCATTGTTAGGGGGATCAACACCCTCAGCTACACATTTTAGCTCTGTGGTGTTTCTGGATTTAGGGTCTCCTGGCACGTGATTGGTCTGTGTGCTGTTCATTCCCTCTCCAAGGTGRTGCTTGGCCCCTGCAGTGTCTGGGGTGGTTACAATCAGTTCAGACCTGTCATCTGTCATTGTGCCTCCTTGGCTGGGTGTGCTCAGAGACCCACAGACCTYGTTCTGTGTCACTGGGAGCTCTGTRGTGGGGAGGATRCAGYCCCCTKTGCCCCCCAGGTACACCCACGAGGTGGGTTTAGTGCTTTGGCGTGTGGGGTGGGGGGCAAGCGAGCCATGAGGCAGGGCTTTCACAGGCTCCAGGACTGGAGGGAAGGAGGCACAGGCAGCTCCTCTCTTCAGCTGGGCCTGGCCCTGCTGGATTGCAGCCACTCGCTGGGACACCTTCCCCCATGGCTGCCCTTCAGGCACSTCCCCATCCCTGGTGTCCTCACGGCCTCTCTGCTCGCTGTTCTTRGGCCAGGAGCACACTTGCTCTGTTTCCTTGGTGCAGGTAATTCCAGGTAAGAATCTTCCCTTCTCCACTGCTGCC